AATGTGTTGAAACAGCAGCTTCAATAACAGCATAACATCAACGCTTGTCTATTCCAGCAGAGGTGTCAAATTAGGGACACGATGATATTAAAAATCATGTTTCTCACATCACTAGATGCATCAGTATAATGACAATAAAAACCCTATTTTCAACTGTTTTTTACTTGTACTTTTATATACAAATCTCTCTTTACTCTAAAGGAAGTGGTTGTCTGATAGTAGGCATTAAAGCAGGGGTGGGGAACCTGCGGCCCCCGGGCCGTATACGGCCCGCGAGACAATTTGGTACGGCCCTCGAGGTAATTTATAAACACACGCAAAAAAGAAAAAAATTAAAGAAAGAAGAGACTAAACAAATTAAACAAGTGAGTGCCTGTTTTTCCTGGCCAATGTCAGGGTCCTTGAACACAACACAAGCCTAACGTGTCATCACGTGGTATATGTATGGGCATAGATATGTCTCATAATTATTTGTGTGAACATAAAAATAATTTGTGTGTAAATATGTGATTTGTAAATGTAAAACACCATCCACAAATGCATTTAAAAGATTTGCAAACTCACAAATAAATGTGCAAGTGTAAAACGGATCTGCAAATACGCTAAATATGTTCATAAATTAAAAAAAGATCTGTGAATATCTCTTTAACATTGACAACTTTCGATCAGGCATTTGTGAATCCATTTTGTATTTGCCGACCAAAACTGCGCTTGCGGATCTCAAATCTCTGCTCGCGGATCTCAAATCTCTGCTCGCGGATCTCACATTTCTGCTTGTGGATCGTCTTTTTACACACACGGAATTTTGAGACATATTTTCCGCCGGTCTCGGCTAAAATCTACTCGTGTCACTCGGTTATTTTCGGAAACCACGTGATCACCATCACCATAGATGTGAAGTGCTTTGTAACTTTGACCCGCTTGACTGAATACACAACAAACAATGAAGAGTTTTATCTGGGCTGCTTCGCTGCCAGCTGCTCCCCTCCCCCGGGACCCGAAAGTGGCGTATACTTCAACATCAATGCATGTGCTCGATATGCTATATTGATCCAATAAACTAACACAAACTAACTGTATCACTATAAAATGATGATGGTGATGGTGATAAAGAATGCATCTAACGTTCCGCTGTTCATTATAACAAAAAAACAGAGCATTAAACAAACCATCATGCTCTTACTTTGAAATCATGCGGAAATGTCGTCGTCAGCAGGCCGAAAATAACCGAGTGACACGAGTAGATTTTAGCCGAGACCGGCGGAAAATATGTCTCAAAATTCCGTGTGTGTAAAAAGACGACCCACAAGCAGAAATGTGAGATCCGCGAGCAGAGATTTGAGATCCGCAAGCGCAGTTTTGGTCGGCAAATACAAAATGGATTCACAAATGCCTGATCGAAAGTTCTCAATGTTAAAGAGATATTCACAGATCTTTTTTTAATTTGTGAACATATTTAGCGTATTTGCAGATCCGTTTTACACTTGCACATTTATTTGTGAGTTTGCAAATCTTTTAAATGCATTTGTGGATGGTGTTTTACATTTACAAATCACATATTTACACACAAATTATTTTTATGTTCACACAAATAATTATGAGACATATCTATGCCCATATATATGTCTCGTCTGACAGGGGTGCAGTTCTGAGGGAGAGCACCAGAACGCCGCTCCGCTCCTGCACTTCTACCGATAAGGAGCCGTACACATGCCGCAGTTTTTGCGTGGCTGTGTCTTAGTTGAAAGCCCAGTGGCGATCTGTTCATCTGTCACACTGATCATACAGTCAATAACTTTGTTGTTATTAGCATCTGGTTAGCTAGCTATGCTAACGAATATAAGAAGCTTTTTCTACAACCAGTGAGGTAAAGGCACATCTTTATATGATCATTAGGCCTATAGTTATAAAAAAACAAGAGAATAAAGTAAACAGGTATAAAATACTATATGACGGTAACAAAAAGTTGTTATTAATAAACAAGAATACAGTTTGAAAGGGGAGTGATTTGTAAAATATCCATAGAGAAAAATAAATCTTCTTACAGTTCTGTTTCATATGGATGTTGAGAAATGTATCCATAGATCTCTTAATGTTGCTCTCAAAGTGCAAAATCTTCATGTCCACATGAATAGGAAACTAAATACATTTGCACACATCTTGTGTCCATATCTTTCTGTTTTGGTGGTCATGCCACAACCGTGCACGTGAATGCATGTGCGAGTCATGGTAAGATATCTGGATTAAGAGGTTGCTTTTTCTTTGCACAGCATGAAAGAAAGGTGAAATGAATGGGCTGTGATTTTAGTATTTTTAAGCAGAGGTCAATCATTTGTACGGCCCTCGGAGGATGTTGAAAACATTGAAATGGCCCTTGAGAGGAAAAAGGTTCCCCACCCCTGCATTAAAGTCTGGCCTGGAGTTGTTGCTTCATGCTATGCAAGACACTGCAAACAAAGCTGTATGCAAAGCCCTGTATTGTTGGTTCCAACACTGAAAGTGTGCAACATGTAGGGTCTCAAATATAGAGATTTTAAATTGCCCAATATATGATTTTGTTGAGTAAATACTAAAACAACTACTAATCGACAACAGAAATCTTGGTCAACTAAGACAGAAATTACCATAACCTGACTTATCGAAGAGGTTATTTGAGGTCTTAAATGCGGATAAGGCAGACATTTTGTTATTTAAATCAGCCATATAATACCAATTGGTCAAAGATTCTGCTTCTAGCAAACAGGTGATGTTTACTATTTAACCTATTGCTCAACCAGGTGTATGTAACTTCCCCCCATCCTACATTATGTCAGTGGCATAATGTGGCGTATGTGTTGCATGTGTATACTTCCATTTTGTGTGTACCTTTGAGCACATCCAAACAGTCTCTAATGTACTTTTAACATTAAAAATGAATGTTTTAACTTGTCAAAGATGCTTAAAAACACCAGAAAAATAGATTTTCAAATGACAATCGTGTGTCCTGTGCTGGTGACTGCTGGACACAGTGCAAGCGTAGCACTGCAGCAATGCCATAACAAATGAGGAGAATAAATCCAGATTGAGTGGGCTGCTGGGGAGTGCACTGTGGATCACGTCGTGTTGATCATCACTTGTGCTGGTGGTTCGCTGTGGCTTTTATCTCTCTTACATTAGCTCCGGCTCGATCCTTATGTGGGTGGCGCGTGATTGCTAGGCAGCATATGGTCTCCTTAGCATCAGATCATTCCACTACATGCTTAAGAGACTGAGAGTCCCTGCCCCCAACCCCCCCTTTCAGCAGAGAAGAATACACTTCAACTGGACGTAAGTTACTATCTACATGCCTGCCCTGAGTCTCTACCCTCTGGCACAGAGTTAAGAGTGCTGCAGGGTAAATGTAACAAGGTGTCCTGATCATTTTAAGCTCACCTATCTCCGGTTAATTCATTTAGTATAGGACAGAAAAGAAGCCACTGGTACGGCTCGTTCATTTTAATGCTGTCAAGAACAGAACATGCTGCTCTTTGGCCTTCATGTGTTAATTTTCTTTAGTTTCTCTCTTTAAATAACCCTATTATTTGTATGTTTTGTACTTACACTGTTCCTCATTGCATTTTTACCGGCAGTCTTGTATAATGAACATCAATTCCTTTGTTTATATTTTGCAAGTAGTAGGTTGGTCCAATATACATCTTACATTTTGATTTATTCGCCCAGCTCAAGTTGTTAAACTTAATGACAGCTTATTTGCTCAAGTCAATATTTACAGACATCTAAATCTAACAGTCAACAAAAGGTCAGAGCGACCCAGATCCAGAAAACCCCAAACAAATAAAGGCTTCTTAATATATAATAAAGCAAATACAGTGGAATAAGAAATAAAATGAGGCTTTTTTTTCCTGTCCACCCAGGACAATTTGTATCAGTGAACAAAAGCCTGCTGCTGCCAATGTTGTGCTATAAGAACATCAATAACTGATCAGAAAATAGATGTGTGTGATCATGTTTGGAAGGAGGAATTGGAGGGAAAGTGAAAGCAGGTACAAAGGTGGTTTAAATCGTGTACAAATAACCCACAATTCCTGGACACCTCCTTGCAAATAAACACTGACAACAAGTCAAATGTAATCCTCTGCTAAATTAAATATGGATCAAGCCCTGGTCAAACACACTCCTATTGGTCACTACATGGATGCCTTACGGTTACTAGGCAACTCAACATCATATCATGTAGTTTATATACATTGTATAGGCCCCTGACCAATTAAAAAACATAACACAGCTCTCCACTTTGAATATTGTATTTGTCATAGTTGATTTGTGTAAATACCGTCTTTATTTTGAAATGTGTTGTCTTTAAAATAGACTACGTATTCTTCTTTCTGTGTCTTTGCACCATTTACACTAAAGTACATTCCTCGTTTGTGTAAAGCTACTACAGATTCTGATCCTGAAAGCACTGTGACCTGCTATGCCAGTAGAACCGCTGTAAATACATACAAGTGTAACCTCAGTCTATTTATTAAAGCTCACATGTAACACTGTTGCAACTATCAACACAGCGCCATGCTTCCCCGAAAACTCATTGCGATAAAAAACAGACATGCATTCACTTTTCATGTGTGAGTGCGAAAGCAAAGCAAAACTTAAGTGACATTTTCCTGTCTGCGGTGCAAACTGTGCCACAATTAGTCGCCAAGCAAAGGCCATTTACGAGTGTATTTTTTGCCACGAAAACTAATTTGCACAGGCCCTTGTTGCTAATGAGAGAGAAGGCTATACTGAGAGGAGATAAGACATACTGTATATGGGCCACAAGCTTTAGGCTACTGTCAGCTCCGGGGTGTTGCACAAAGTGGGCGAGGAAAGCGTTTCCTTCTCAACAGAGCTCTACGTTTTTAAACTTTACGTACAAAAACAACAACAACAACAACCTGTCAAAAAGCCACATTTATCGACACAGGCCTGCAAACTGGTGTGTTTACAAGTCGTCGGAGGGGTGGAAATTAAGTGCTTACCATCTTGCAGGTCGGATGATGAAATCCAGGCGGAAAAGAGGTCCAACAGGGGAGAGAGAGAGGGAGGGGGAGTTGGTAGGTCGCCGAGATGTGGCGAGAAGTACTACAAAATATATGGTTGTGGTACTCTCTGAGGTCTCTCGTCCTGGCTTTAAAACCCAGCTTCAGGCTCCTTCACCAAGGCTTTCTGTGCTGTAGCAAAGGGAGGCAGACCCGCTGGGAGGGGACGGAGGAGGAGGCTCGGTTTGACAAGCAGGCGGTGGCGGAGGGGAGGAGAGAGGAGGGGGAGGTGCTGCTGGAGGCTACTGTACATCCGGGAACTACAGGTTCACTACAGGCTGCTTGTGCTTGGGCTCTCTCCACTGGAGCTATGGCTGTACTGCAGGAATACCCGACACCTTAGGCCATTCTGCACTGTGTGTGCAGTGGTGGAGAGTTACTAAGTACATTTAGGATAGTGCTGTACTAATGTACAATTTCGAAGTACTTATTTTGAGTATTTCTTTAAGTTATGTTTTATAGCCAGACAGATTTTTTTTTTTAAATATAGGCTACAGCCCAAACTGTCCTACCAAGATGGGGATTTGAACCCATGTATCACAGAGATCAGAATATGGTGTGCCTGTGTGAACCTCTGAGTTAGACAGCAGTTTGAGCAGGCATGATTTATTTGAAATCATTCGATCACATGACCTTTTTTTTCGTCCCTTGGAGTTGGGGGGTGTCCCCTTTAGGCTGGCAAGAACAAAAAAATCTCTCAAAACATGAAAACTCACAAAGATAATGAAGGAAAGGAAAACATAGTCCTGCACCTTTGTGTGTGTCTTTCTCAAGCGGCAAACTCTGGGGAAGAGCCGGGACGCCAATACGGAAGTGCCACACACTGCAGTTCATATATTGGCCGATAGGGACTGACTGCAGAAAGGAGCAATTTCCATAGACCCCCATGTTAAAATGCCCAACTTTACAGCAGAAAAAAACATGTTTCTACCCATGGATGCAATAAATATTATTATGAATATAGTTAGGTTCAACCTTCATGATTATGGATCTGTGAGTGAATTGTTTTCTAACACGACCCTTTTATTTATATTAGGTCTTAACGTTTTTGCATAAATTAGGGCGTGGTCACATTGAGTGACGGCTCTGTCAAGTGACTGCTGCTGCTAGCTTCTTGTCGCTCTGCTACCTGCTCCGTGAAGCTACAGGGACTCTGCCTGCTCAGCTCATCCAGGGAACACAACTTGAAGCCGGCCGTGGTTGTTTGTTCTTCATGCTTATATATCGGACTATTGTGACTCGCTCTGCGGTTAAAACAGACGGTGCATGAATGCGGTTTTGCGGTAAGTGAAATTCGAGTACTTATTTATGTGTTAATGATTTTAATCGGCTACGTAATGAATGTTAAGGCTGGGTTTAGTTGTAAGCGAGTGGTAGCTACATCGGTGCTAACGATGCTAATCGTAGCCGACAAGTTAAAATCATAGACTGTATATAAAGGTTAGAAAGAAATAGACAAGTGTTAAGCGTTAAGTGGGATAATACTGTAGAACAAACGGCTTCTGCTTGAGGTTGATAAAATAAGGTCATCCTTGTAATTTAGGGAGATATTTTATTATGTAGGTAGAACTGTATGCATCGCTAAGGTTAATTTAAATTGGCTATGCTGAAGTATGTAGACAAGCTAACGTCGAAGTAGTGTATGTGAAATCAACCTCACAATAAGATGTGTGTATATTACAATTAATGTCATATTTCAAGATGATTAGTTAGATATTACAATATGGTTGGTTGAGCTGGAGCATTATTGAGCTTACACATTAACGTCACAGTCATCTGAAGAACGAACCCAAACCTTGTTGTTTTTATTAATTGCATTACCAAATGGGTATCAAATAAACAGTAAGCATTGGTAACACAACTTCCAAAGTTACAGTAAAATAAAAAGGACCCTGACTCGGACAATACACAATCCAACATGTTCAACAGAAGAGAATCAGTTATATTGTTTGTACACATGGTACTTTACATATATATATATATATATATATTTATATATATCTGTTTGTTTAAGGTGTCCAGGTGATGCAGACAGGCTGGACCAGAGAGTGAGACAGAACTGGACTCCTCACAGCAGTGAACTTCATCACAGGTACAAAGACTCTTTTTTTCATACTGTACAAAGAATCAAGAAAGATATTGGTTTAAATGAATGAAGTATTGACTTGAATACACTGATATACATTCCATTAAACAATACTAAATACTAGATCACCTACACATCAGTTAAGTTGAGGGTTTTATCCATGCAAAAAGTTACATTTAGATGTTATTGTTAACAAGCAATATGACTTTGTCAGCTTTCTAATTTAATGTATTGAAGGCAAAGATATTTAACACATAGTGAGAACTGCTACTATTTATCTCTCAATATTGTCTGAAAAAACGTGGTAAAAGTTATTCTTTCAGTGAGACAACAGAGCAAGCTTCTACAGTTGCACTACGTTTTGATAACAGTTCAATATTATTTTGATAATAACATATATCTGATTGTCTTTGTAGCTCATTGTTGAAATAAAAAAAAAACATTACAATTACAAAATAATTATATCTACAGCCCCTAAACACACAAACACACCACTTTCATAAATAACACACTTGTTCTGCAATAATACGTTTTATGTTTCCTGTCATTTTTGTTAGGAAAGGACATGCCTGAAAGACAGGACATGTTCTCCTTCTCTGAGGGTCAAGAAGAACATCCAAGAGGAACATTAAAAGCTGATGTTATGAGATTTTAAGACCAGTACAGGACATTCACTAAGAAACTACTTTTATTGTAAAAAAAGTCAGCTGATCGAATGCAGCTATTTCCACATCTACACTCCATCAGCTGATTATTTCTATTTGCCTCGTTTTATGAGCTTCACAACATGTACCTTGTTTTGCAACGTCACAAATAAATGGGGCCAATCTTCAGTCAGATGTGAATGTGTAATCTAACATTTTCAGTAAGAATAATGGACAAAAGGAGTGCATATACAAATACAATTTATTGAAATGTGAACCAAAAGTTAATCAAATGTTTTAAATAAAAAGCACATATGGACAGAAGGTGTAAACCTATTAAATGTATTAAACACATTTAGTCAAATAAAGTGACCGACTAGGCCTGTGCAGTTGGTATCAGCTTTGCCCAGCATGGGCTCCTTCATCAGCCCTGGTCCTGCTCGCAGAGGAAAGACCCTCAGTCCTCTCCAAACCAACAGACAGGACGTCCATCACACGGAGGTTTCTCCCTGAAGTCTCTGCAGCTCTCTGGACACCAGACTGTCTCAATCCGTCCACACTGAATATGAGATTGGGAAAATTACATTGCATTTAGCTGACGCTTTTATCCAAAGCGACTTACAATAAGTACATTCGACCAGGAAGACACAACCTTGAAGAAAACAGAATCATATAAGTACATCAGGTTTCATAGAGCCAAACATTTCAAGTGCTACTCAACTGGCTTTAGGTAAGCCAGTCCTTTATTAGTATAAAAGTGCTTCGTTAATAGTTCTAACGCTCGAAGTGGAGTCGAAAGAGATGAGTTTTCAGTTTGCGCCGGAAGATGTGCAAGCTATCTGCCGTCCTGATGTCAATGGGGAGCTCATTCCACCATCTTGGAGCCAGGATAGCAAACCCACGTGTTTTCGCCGATGGAAACTTGGGTCCCCCTCGCAGCGAGGGCGCAACGAGTCGTTTGGCTGATGCAGAGCGTAGTGCACGCGCTGGGGTGTACGGTTTAACCATGTCCTGGATGTAGGAAGGGCCAGATCCATTCGCAGCATGGTAAGCAAGTACCAGTGTCTTGAAGTGGATTCTAGCAGTTACCGGAAGCCAGTGAAGGGAGCGGAGGAGCGGAGTGGTGTGGGAGAATTTAGGAAGGTTGAAGACCAGACGAGCCGCTGCATTCTGGATGAGCTGCAGAGGTCGGATGGCACATGCAGGTAGACCAGCCAGGAGGGAGTTGCAGTAGTCTAGGCGTGAGATGACGAGAGCCTGGACCAGAACCTGAGTCGCTTTCTGAGTCAGCTGGGGACGTATCTTCCTGATGTTGTAAAGCGTGTATCTGCAGCAACGGGTTGTAGCAGCGATGTTTGCAGTGAAGGACAGGTTGTTATCTAGGGTCACACCCAGATTCCTTGCAGTCTGAGTCGGGGAAACAACTGAGGTGCCGATGTTGATTGTTAGGTCAAGAGTGGGACAATCTTTTCCCGGGAGGAAGAGCAGCTCAGTCTTGTCAAGGTTGAGCTTGAGGTGGTGAGCAGACATCCACTGAGAGATGTCAGCTAGACAAGCAGAGATGCGTGCGACGACCTGGGTCTCTGAGCGGGGAAAGGACAGAATTAATTGGGTGTCGTCAGCGTAGCAGTGGTAAGAAAAACCATGCGGGCTAATGACTGATCTGAGCGAGTTTGTGTACAGGGAGAAGAGGAGGGGACCAAGAACAGAGCCCTGAGGGACCCCCGTAGTTAATTGACAAGGGTCGGACTCAGACCCTCTCCAAGTCACCCTGTAGGTACGGTCTTTCAGGTATGAGGTGAGGAGGGAAAGTGCAGAGCCTGAAACTCCAAGTTTTTGGAGAGTGCGAAGGAGGATCTGATGATTCACCGTGTCGAATGCAGCAGACAGGTCCAACAGGATGATGACAGAGGAGAGGGATGCAGTTTTGGCAGTGTGCAGTTCCTCCGTGACAGCAATGAGAGCAGTTTCTGTGGAGTGACCTGCCTTGAAACCAGACTGGTGCGGATCCAGAAGGTTGTTCTGATTGAGATAACAGGAGAGTTGTTTAAAGACAGCGCGTTCAAGTGATTTAGACAGGAACGGGAGGAGAGAGACAGGCTTGTAGTTGAAAATAATAAATGCTTTAGACCAGTGCTTCTCAAAGTGTGGTCCGCGGACCACTGGTGGTCCGTGAGCGCCCCCTAGTGGTCCGTGAGTATATTGGTAAAATTTCACATTTTAAATAAATACATTTATTTAAGTTTTTCGCACTCTCGCGGGAATATCTCCGCCAGGGAACGAGCTTAAGTTTCACTTTCGATTGCATGATATAGCCCAGATAAACACCTTCATCACACATGTTGCCACTTGTTTGTACCATTTTCAGGCAATTTGTAAAACACGATGTGTTTTTGGATAAGTGGTCCTTGGTATGAAAAAGTTTGAGAAACACTGCTTTAGACAATAAGAAACATAAAGTTGACTGTTGAGTTGCTCAGTTTTGT